TGGACTGTTGGCCGGGAACCATCGGGCCTGGGATCGAATCCCCGCCGCGCGGAACTTTTTTCCCGCTCTGTTGATCATGTCTTCGGGAGTTAGAGACAGCTGAGATGCGCATGTTGCGTTGCAAGGCAGAGCAGGAAAAAAGTTCTGCGGCTGGGATTCGATCCCTCAGCCAACGGTTTCCGGACCATAACCTCAGCGCGCTCGCTACTCAGCTGTCGCCTGTTCCTGAAGACGCAGACGTCAAAACTCAGTCCTTCTTTACGGGTGTTGATCTGCCGTATCGCGAGTCCTAGTCGGGGCAAACATTTTGTTGTTGTGTTTTTTTGGCATTGGGGTGGGGGGGGGGCTGCTGAGTAGGCGGTCAAGTCCACCTCCCCATGTATCGCCTGGTCTTTTGTCCTAACCCTTGGGTCCCCACGCTGCAAATAACGATAAATAGGAAAAAAATGAGCCTCGCGGTCAGTATTCGAACCGACAACCACCCGCGTTCCTGGCGCGCGCTCTACCATCTGAGCCAATGATGATGCTTAGGCATCGGTGAAGCGTATCTCCGCCGTGCCTTACGCCCCGAAACATATGGCTGGCGGAGAGGCAAAAGGGTTCCGTCGACTAGATTCGAACCAGCGACTGTTTGCGTACCGGCCCATCAAATCAGGTGTCGCACGGCTGTAAAGTCATGGCCGGCCAGCGGAGCGCGAAAAATACCACCCGGCCGAGATTCGAACCAGCGACCAGATTCAAACCCGGCCCGGGACGCTACCGACTTGGCCGCGACGGAACGATACATACAGTGCACAACTTTCGGTAGCATCCAGATCTCAGCTATGACTGACGCCCGAAGACACTTGGCCAGCAGAGCAGGAAAAATGATCGCGGACGGGATTCGAACCTGCAAACATGCGCACGGTGACCGGGCAGGGGCAAGATGCTGGAATTTTCTCCAAGGGTCGAGCCAATCTGCGTTTTCTTTGGCGACCGCATGGCCAGCGCGTCCGCACCCGCTGAGTACGCGAGTTCTGCGCGAGTTGTCTCTGTGGGTGGGGTGCTCCCGCGTCCTATAGCGTCTGTCTAGTGCGTCCGGGGC